GTGTGTGTGTGTGTGTGTGTGTGTGTGTGTGTGTGTGTGTGTGTGTGTTGTTTGTAACTGGGGCCCAGGTGGCTACTTCACCTCTCATCTATTTGCGTCTCGACCACCCAATCTAGCTGGTGGACAAAAGAGGAAAGCAGGAGATAAAAGGGAGACGGACGRAGGAGCAGATCCAGATGAAACAGAAGGAGCTTCTCTAATAATCTCCGCAGAGTCCTGAACCGATGCTTTTAGCAGCAGATAAATAAGGACAAAAACACACAACAGTGACAGAGGAAGAAGGTTTGATTTGGATATCTGGTGGAGAAGAGGACAAACGTGATGTCTGTTCCATAAATGTCAATCTTTAGATCTTTTATGTCATATTATACTCATAAATGTTAAGTTACAAGYTATTATAGCTATACTATAATATCTGATAAATCCTCTGGATTATTAGTATTGGCCATTTAGTCAAATATTTGCGAAGAAAAATGGCCTTTGAGGTAAACAGTAAACTGAAAAAAATAGCTTTTTTTCTGTTTTGGCAGACAGACAGGAAACTATGAAGCACAATGTGCAACGTTTCATTACAAAAAAAAAGATTAACAAGTAGATTCTCATTCAAAAACATCATTTAAATTTTTAATTTTGATAGATACACGCCAAAAACATCATTAACCCAATTTCTTGTTGTCTTTGGAAACTAATTTCCCATTAACATATTTAAATTTAAAAAATATAACTAGTATATACATGGTATACAGTATATAAAGAGATATATGATAAATATATATTTCTATTTCCTCTACTTTTTCTATGTTCAATCTTATTGTTTTTGTTTTTTGTTTTTCTATTCTTACCCTATGTAACTGCTGCTGATATGTCCAAATTTCCCCACTGAAGGACAATAAAGGATATTTTTTCTATTCTACATATTTACAGGCAAGATTTCATCAGGAACTTCACTTGCTCATAGTTTAACTGTTATTTAGTCCTTATTTGATGGAGTAGAAAGAAAAGAAATGCTGTCCCTGTTGTGTTTTTAGAAGACTTTAAAAGGAACASAAAATAATGAATATTCTTTGGTTAGATACTTGAAGAAATTAACAAGTTGATGTGTCCTTGTTTAATATTTTGTAGTTTTAAAACCCAGTAAAGGTCATAAAGTTTGATGTGTTTCAGTTCTATTTAGAGCCACTAATGAAATGCAACCGTCAAGCTAAGGTAAAACTGTATTATGGCTCAGTTTAGCAAGATTTAGGCAGCTAAAGTGCACTGGTATAAAAGTTTGAAATAACTAGACTTGTTCAAATATTATGAATAAATACTTTTTCTAAGAGTTCTTTGAATGAAATGTCCAAAGTWTGAAWTCTAAAGAATGTTTTGAAGCACTTTTGTGAACAGTACCAACATCTAACAATGTTTCTGAGCAGAAAAGTCTTAAAATTTCACCACCTTTCCTGCACAATAGTGAAGCTACTTTCAAGAATAGCTRGGAAATTCCGATATCCAAATACGGTTTGAGGTTTACGCTTAAGACATCCTCATTAAAACATATTTAAAATAGAATTCAGACTGATTTTTCAAGGATCTTCCATTACATAGTTAGCTTAGTTTCGTTTGACCAAACCTGACTTAATCCTTTATGCGATGTGGTGGGTTACATACAGTATAATAAACAAGCAAAATTCTCTGACTTTAAATAGAAAGTAAAAACCCATAASTAGTAAGAAAAAAGCATATATTTCAAAGAGATGCTTTTAAAATCAATGTATAAGAACGCTGAATGCTATTATGTCCAAGGCAACGTGTGATAAATACATTCAACCTCCAGAGTTAGGAGAGCTGAATATAAAAGAGCTTGTTTTGTGTTTAGAACAAAAAAAAAAGAATCAAAATAAGACGAGATAAAAAGCAAGGCATCGGTCACAGGGTGAGTTTTAAGCCTGCAGGAAAACAAGGCCAAGAGGGAACAGTTTTGCCATTAAGGGTCTAAAGTGCACGAGGTGAAACCAAGAAAAATATCAGGAAAAACTTTGAAAAAGGAGGCTGCAAAGAAAGAGCCCATTTTCTACCTTCTAAAACCTGAAGATAATGAAAAGTATTCCTGCATAGTTTTCCTCGAAGCTAGAATGTAAASAAGAAGCAGCCATCTGTGCGACTTAAACAAGCCTGAACACAAAAAGCAATGAAGTTCAAGGTTTATGTGTTTCCACCCCAAAGACTAGCTGGGATCATTATAAAGCCACTCCTCTGTCACTGTCACCCTGCTCTCGTTAACCTCTGCCAGGTCACACATATACTGTACACACACACACATCTAATTTGCATTCTTATTGCTACATGTATTACACGCTCACAAACACCATCAGTCACATTCCTCTAAATTGAATACTCACAGATACACACATGCATCACATTTACATCTATTAGAGAACACGGCTACATTCAGGTTTGATTTGCAAACCCACGCAAAATCTGTGAATTAAGTTTTTCTTTTATTTATTTTTTAAGAGACAAACAATCAAGCCTGGATAAGGWTGTGAACAGGTACACAGCTAGTTCCGAATGCATTCAGTGAGTGTGTGTTAGTGGAAGGAAAAAGACACAAACAGCTCCAGCCTTTTTTACATTCGCATAAAAACAAACTGCTGCACAAACAAGCTCATCAGAGGCAACCGTAGCTTGTTAGCGCCGAGCGCTAACATGCAGAATAGCTCCGCTCACCCATTTTAGCATCCCACTGACTCAAACACAAACAAACGCAGGCGTTCCACTGTGTGTTTGTAAGTGTGTGTGTGTGTGTGTGTGTGTGTAGGGGAGGGGGCAGAGACAGATGGAGCTCCCACTCTTGGTTGACTTCCTCAACATCGACGGAGGCCGAGAGCCTGACAGAGCTGCGGCCGAGACCCTGGGAAAAAATGTGTCCTCTGTCACTTACTGCGGCGTCTTCCACTGCCAGCCATCTGTTATTGTGCCAAACCATCTCTGACAGCTTTGCCTCCATTGTTTCTCTGTGCTGTCAAGACACCACTGTACTGTAAAACGCTGAAAAATCACCATCTGTCACCGCAGCCCGGTGCTCCCTCGCAGCACCTGTGATTCCCTCCAGTTATTTTTAAGAGAGCTGTTTTCTAATGGGCAGAGGACGGGCGCGGAATGATTTGTACTCTTGTTAGGAGCTCGGGGATCGAGACGGKTTGTGATGGAGGAGCTCAAACGTCGTCATGGTTATGGTTTGACTGATGGCGTGGAAAAAAAACTTAAAAGCTGARTTCCCACGGAGGTCTGAAGTTTTACACATCAGCTTCAAACTTTATCTGGGTTAAACGAGCGAGAAACATTTTTTCCGCACAGAGATGCATTGATTTTTTAAAGGGGCAATATCGTGTAAAATCAACTTTTTTGAGTGTTATATCATGTTTTAATGTTACACTCTTATAAAAAGCATGCCCAAAGCAATTAAAAAAGGCAATAGAACTAAGGAGTGACTGTGATGGCGACAGTATATATATGTGCAGGCGGAGCCTGACATCTGTCATCATCACGTCACCTGCTTAAAGGCGTGATTAGAGGTGGGTTCAGCCAGGACACGCAGGGGCCTGGTTTCCCATACATGTGTTGTACCGAGTGAATTGACTGAAAGGGAACTGTGGTATTTTAACAGAAACAGATTTGTGGACAAAATAACTGCGGATATCACAGGTTTTTTTTTAAGGATTGTAGACTCCAGTAAAAAGAAACCCTGTGCAGGGACGTGTACCGCAGCAGGAGGGGTTTTCCAGGAGCTCAGCGTGATGTGACTAATGGACTGTGAAAGATGTGTGCGAAAACTAACGTTGAACAACCACGTGACCGTGCATCAACTGTTTGGCTTTGGGTCAGGTATACTGGGCCCTAAAGTCTCTCAGCTGGCCTGGGAACACCTTGGAGTCCTCCTAGAAGAGCTGGAAGAGGTGACTAGAATGAGATGTTTAGACCTTCCTGCTTAAACTATTGCTCCTATGACCCGACTTCACAACAAGCGGCAAATATGAATGGATGGTTGGTTTTTGGTCATATAATTCACAGACATCTTTAAACTCTTACATTTCTTATAGCAGCTCGTGAATTATTTCTTATAAACTTTTCACAGACTTTTATTTTGCAGTAAACTGCTATTTTAGTAGTTGTTTGGTCATCTTGGACCAGCTGTCAGCTTGCCCACTCTCTTCAAATCAAACTTTGTTCAAAGAGCTTTCTTCAACAATATTAAAACCATTTCAACAAAAACCCCAATTCAAACAATCTGAGCTGTCACTTTAGAGAAAGCTTTAATTCATAAACACAAATTAGCACCAACCTATTTTGTTGATTCAATGAAACCCAAGTCAAAGAGGTGAAAGTATGACTTTTCAGCTTCTATTTGAGCCTATATAGAGTAAATTGCACACTGAACAACATATTGGGACATTCACACACACACACACACACACACACACACACACACACACACACACACATCACAGACACACATCACAGACACTCATGAGATGCTTTAATCCCGTCAGAGTGTCAGGCTTCCAAACAAAGACCAGAATGCTAATCCCAGTCTCCATCAGTGCTCTGACTCCGGCTTCGGAATGACCTGTCTGCTGGGGTTCCACAATAAAAGCATGTGTTTAAATATAAACTTACCTGAAGTGAACTTTGGGGTTCATTTTGGACGAGGGGCCGTTTGATTCCACTCGTTCCAAGGCTCCTTTCAGTACATTGCTGATTTCCTTTAAAAAGACAGAAAAAAAGAAAGAAACACAAACAGGTTAAGTAATTTAAGAAGCTGCAGTGACCTCAGCAGGAAAACAAACCACTCAGCGAACACGGAGAGGCCTCCTGCCAATTAGCAAACCAATCTAACGCCGTCATCAATCACCTTCGAGGATCCCGAGGAGAGAGTGACCACCGAGCTCCTTCCGACACACCGCTGTCCTTCCTCCACTCTACGTACTGTACCCCCCTGCCTCCCTCCACCCCCCCGTCCTGTGTCAGCCTATTTTTAAGCCAAATCAACAACCCCGGGGCAAGCAAATCAAAAAGGAAACCACGAGAAAGAAATGCTGGGACAGGAAATACGGTGACTCTTGCGTGCCGCTCGAACACGACTCAAACACTGTCCCAATTCACTAAAGACAAGAAAGGATGCAATTAGGTCCTTCTGCCTTGTCACTTTCATTGTGTCACCGGCGTTAATGACTAAAAAGCCCCCGCCCACCAGCCGACTCCTCAGCAACATCCCCCCTACCCCGCTCCCACCACACCCAACTCCCCAGCAGACCCTTAATAAATACACACTTCATAACTCGTCCACCCACACATCCATAAATCTGCCGCCAAGATTACAGTCACATTTCATCTAGGCAGAGCTAAAAACGTAAAATTAATTTATATAGAAAAATAAAAAATAAAATCATGTTCATGAATTCAAAAGCATATGCTGCCTGCACAAATAGTGACCCACTTATCTGGGCAGCGTGAGATTACCCCACAATGGAGCGCATGTGTGCGGGGGCAGGAAGATGAGCTGGAGGCTTTATTGTTGTTGTGCAAACAGACTTTCACCAGTACATCCAACCTCACTGCATCTGAACCTACCCCACGTGTGAGCTGCTGGGTTATGACTAATTAAAGTGATAGGTGAGGACAGACACATTTAGTCAAACCTACACATGTATTTTTTGATGTTTTAACCGTTAAGAGATCATGTCTTAATGCTCAGTGAGAGCCTAATCTCTGACTCAAAGCACTGATTTTTTTTTCTTTTAGATGTGAAAACAGCCGCGTCGTAATCCCTGCTGGGCTCGACCAACTGGTTCTCTCCTCTTGTTGCCTGGAACTTCAAACACTGAGGAAACATATGGGATGAGGTCAGGTTTTGGACACGGATTCTGCTAATGGAAACTTGCCAACTTCAAAAAACAAATCTTTGTATTGAGCTCAGTTTAACTTTTTTGGCTTCTGTAACCCTTCGACCAGTCAAGATGGAGGAGGAACTTTTGTAAATGTGTACCAATTACAGCTGCAGTAACTTATTATCATAGTATAATCAGATAGACCCTCACTGTCCTTGAGGCTCACACTAGATTTAGATTCTAGTATCTAACACAGTAAACTGCAAAGTGTTCAGTGTAGTGATGGAAAAAGTGCACCTGAAATCACAATAATTAACAGTAAAAATCTAATCACATTTTCCTAATTTAGTGCAGGTCTGATACACACTAATTTTTGTATAAAGAGTACAAACATCAGCAGAAAATTTCACAAACTAATAAAAGAGACAATGCATGGAAAATACAGATTTAATACCCGTTTTCAAATCAATCAYAGACAAAGCTTCTTTGCTTAAAAAGTTTGAATTTGCAGAATAAAGTATTGCAGATCTGAAGGATTGTATCCATGTTCCAAAAATGATGATGCCCACTCAGTAAAGTTTAGATTTACAATCAATTTAAACTAAAACCACAAGGTTGTTTCATTTAAACCAAACATGTCAGATAATGATAAGAAGGTTTAGCTGCATAAAATGAAAATAGTCATGGACTAAATTTGTTAAATTATTATTTTCAAAGAAGAAAAATAAAGAATATTGAAAATGAATACAGCACAGGAAGAAGTAGGTCGATTTATCAACCAATATTTGCTTATTTAGGTATCAGTCATGTCTGTGGATGTCTAGTCAACTATCAAGCAGACAGCCAGCTGCTGACATCAGGAGGATTTGGTCGTATCGGTCATCTACTGCCCCGATTTTTAAAGATCTAAAACAATAAAAGAAATATTTACACAATGGTCAAATCTCTAAAAAGGCTGTACATATCATGAAAACCTGCAGTATCTCAGGTCCATTTTGTTTATCAGACTGATGCTGACAAAACAAATAAATGCAAACACTTGACCCAATCATTTATTGTGATATGCCTATTGAACAGATTGTTATCGCAATGGCAATAAATTTGTGACATATTGTGCAGCTCAAAATACTATATAGTACTAGAAAATTACAGTATAAAGTTTGCTTTTAAGTGATTATAATTATTATCTGAAACATTCAATAAATAAAAATGAAGTTTGTATTAAATGTAAACAAACAGGTACTTTAAAACATGTTTTGGTACAATAACAATAATAAACCCTTTCCAGCTTTGAATGAATTAATTTTCCTCCATGCATTTGGAAAAATTAACTAATTGTGTTTTTGCTTACAAACTGAAAGCTTCTTGTGACATTTTCAGCCCATTGGTTCACGCGTATCCTTCTGTTTCTGCCTTTTTATTTATTTTTTTATTTTTTTGCACTTTCACCCCAGCTGCCACTTTTTTTCCAGCGCTTCAAGTTCAGCTGCGTCTCCCGTCGGGACAACATTTCAAAAGCTGACAAATTAATACATTAATACCACAATTAAAATCAGCGTTTTTAGTCGTTTCGACTTAGCCTACATTACTGGGAGTGATTTGAATCTGACAGGATCTATGGCTCCGGCTCGAACGCTCACATAATTTGTGAAACCTGTCTGAAAACCTGTCTCAGTACGACTAACAGGTTGTCTGCTCTGTTATTGTGTTGCACGCTGTCATGTGCACTTCTGTATTTTGCTGCGGTTTGTTGTCAGAGGTATGTTCGAGTGACACAGAGGTGTGCAGGCATGCGAGATGAAATGTTTGTGACTCTGTGTGTGTGTGTATGAGTGTGTGTGGGAAAGAGAAGTTGTTGTCAGACAGATGAGTAATGAGGTGTCTGTTTCGTATGTGTACTTCCTTGGTGTGCTGCAGTCATCAGCGACATGTCAGCCAGCTGGGAAATAGCGTGCACCTATAGATGCGTGGCAGGATTGCAGCTTCGGTGTGGTCACCCATGTTTGTTGACCCCCATCGTGAACATCATGTCAACAGGCTGATGAGATACACTTACTGACACCTTAAAATACACAAACATGCAAAAACGCTGTGCAAACTTTAAAAGACACATAGAGAAACACAAAGCATCCTCTCAGGAGGATTTAATCCAGATGAATAAAGTCTGGTTTACACTTCATAAGAAGTGGCAGAAATGTGACCCATTGTCGTTCTTTACATGACCCCCTCACAGAACTATTGTTTCACAAGATATGTGGCAAATGTGTGACTGGTCAGAACTTTGTGGGTGTTTTTATGTGAAAGATGACTAGAGAAGCAGGTGGCCAAGGCTGTTAGAAAGTACAGCCACCTTTACAAATGTGCTAAACAGAAGCAATGAAAATCAAAATGGATCACAGCGAGTACGCTAATGCCCTAAATGGGCTGGTGCAGACAAAACATCACAAAACATACGTGTACATTTAGGATATGATCCATATTGTCTTAATAAAAAAGACTTTTCATATAATCTGGGGGATTTACCCGGCATTGAGGCGATAGACAAACTATCTGGTGCTGCAGATCTCGTATTATAGGTTGGTGTGGGCAGAGTCCAGTAATACACATGGAAAAATACATTTACTTAAGAGTAAATAATACCCCTAGGTGCATGTTTTTGGTTCTAGGACTGTTTTTTTATGAATTACAGTGGGGAAAATAAGTATTTAGTCAGTCACCAATTGTGCAAGTTCTCCCACTTAAAAAGATGAGAGAGGCCTGTAATTGACATCATAGGTAGACCTC